CTGATCACCTGACTAGGCTGAGTAAGCAAGATGTTCTAGCAGGTTCCACCACAGAGGTATAAATATAAGGCCTACTCTGCCTGGGACTGTCTCTTCAGACTTGGTCTCTTAGGATCATCCACAGGTACCTATACTGTAGATAGGTCTTAGTCATCAGGTCTACTCCACTTCCTTGTTGCCTGCTTAGACTCTTGGCACTCTTAGGTGAGCAGACTTAGTCAGCCTGTGTTGCCCTAACAGTGCCACAAGAGGGCATCCAGGTTTTGGGGCATGTCTGGATTCTGGACTCTGGATACAGATGTCAGGGTCATCCTTGTCCACAGCTTCCCTGCAGTGGGAGACACTTGCAGGGAGAACCGGTGCACCTGCATCTTAAGTGGGAGTTAGAGAAAAGTCATTGTGTTAGTAGTTAGCTGCTTACCAAGGTGAATACAATCAGTCCAAACACCATCTCTAGTGTCTTCTCCATCTCCATTGCACACCATTGGCATTCCAGAGTAGCTGCCCATCCACCATCCATTTCATGGTACAGCCCATGTGGGGATGGACCATGGAAGGCTTGTGTGGATGGTCCAGCCATTGCACTGACTTCGACATTCCGCTTGAATGCCTCAGTGCACCCCCCCTTTCAACCTGCTTGCCCTTCCCTTTTCCTCCTGCTGTCCCACCCAGAGCCATGACCTGCCCTGCCTGCCCCCAGGCTGACTGATCTGCCATCCCATCCCTCTGCCCAACCTCCAACACTTCATCTTCCATTGCTTCCCTATCTCCTTCTTTCTCCCCATCCTCCCATTCATCCAACCAATTGGCTTCTCTTGCTTCCCCACCTCCTTCAGTCTTTTCTGCCTTAGGCTTGTGGACAGGGCAGCCTGCTGCACTGTGACCAAACTCTTTGGACTTTCTCTCATCCCTGCAGCACTTGGCACACCATTTCTTGTGGCAAGCTTGGCAACCTGGTCCCTTGCAGAGAGGACACTTGGGTCCTCCCTTTTGGGGACCATTCACCAGTTGGCTCAAGCCTACTGGGCTTGAACTCCATTGTGCCTGGGCTTTGTCAACCATGTGCTGGAGTTTGATGATGTTGTCTGGGTGCAGCCTCTGGGTATGAAATTGGAAGCTCTTTGGGTTATGTTTCCTACACTGCACAGACAATGTTAGTGTAGTTCAAACTACAGGGTGCAGAACTTACAAGGGTATATACACCCCCATACTTCTCCAGCTTCCCCCCCTTTCTGTCCAAATGCACTGGAGGCACCAGTGCTTCAGTACATCTGGGTTCCAAACACTGGATTTTGGCCCCAATGTGCTTCACCTTCTTCCCTTCTGGCAGTCAGGAATTCCCAAGCTTGATGACATCCTGCACAAGTGATTGGGTGACGAGAGACATAGGCATCTTGACAAAGTGGAAAACTGGGGCAGGGGGCAGGGGGAAAGGGGCACACAGTCATGGTTTGTTTCTCAGATGATGGGGGGGAAAGGTGTAAAACTACATGATGCAAGTATTTATTTAGCAGCATGGAAAATTTTGCATGTACTGACACATGGGAATGCAGACCTCCTGGTGATCCCAGCAAACCGCTAGGCTGATCATGATTGGCCTAGTGGTTCCCAAATTGGAAAATGTCATTCACCTATTCATGCAAGTCCAGTCATCCATCAATGTTGACAGGCAAGTCATCTGCGCTCTGCATTGTAAGGCATGCCATCCCTTGTATTGCACAGAACTATCTACAGAATTACAAGTTATGTGCAGTGGATATTAGACTACTGTCAGAAATCAGCCTATGCAACACCAAATGGTTGCACAACATTGCTCACCCATTAAATCTGTCCAACCCAATTGGTACACACCTATAACCAACATACCAAGATGGGAAGAGAAAAGATCACAGTCATACAACAGATGCATAAAGCAACTACTAAACATGAGGAGAGAAAGCAGCAAATGAAACAAGGACCATTAAGAGAGGAGCGGCAACCTTCCCCTCAGCTTTTTAAGCACCGGGGCATCTGGCAAAGACTCCAAATGCTGCAGCAGCCATTCGTGCCATTTCACCATGTCAGCTGTTATCATGGTTGAATGGGTGTAGGCTTGGGCAATCACAAACACATGTGTGGCCACAAACAGACCGCAATCACTTCCATTGGTCTGCAATGGAACCTGACCTGCTGTTAGGCTCCAGGTCTCCAATGACCATCCCATCAAGCTCACCTTGGCATGACACCCTTTCCATCCTTCCAACCAGGGAATGTGTAACACCCAGAGGTTATTATGGTAATTAGAATTAGGGAGTGATCCGACTGAACGTTTAGAGCAGGTACAAGTAGAATGAGAGTAAGGAATAAGAATCTCCACTTCCGGATCACCGTTCACCCTGGGGCCAGATGATGGTGGAAGAAAAGAGTAGAAAAGAAAAGATGCGTCAGGGTCCAAAAGGTACATCTGCCTCAACGGCCTCCACGTCACGTGCGCAAGGTGAGGACTTGTCCGTATGAATACCCCATCATCACAGTAGCCCTCCCAGTCCTTACCACACACTCAGTAATCATCATCATCATCCGAAGCATTCAATCCCGCCGCAGTAGCCCTGAGTTGAAGCTTTTCGTCGTCTGAGAGAGGAGGGGTGTCAGGGTGAGGACCGCTGTCAAACTCCTGGAGCCGGTCTTCCAGTAGTAACAAAGCGTAGAAAGCCCGGGCGTGGTCTGTCTTAAGATCCTCTTTGATAGACTTCCAAGCCTCAACTCTGCCCGCTGGTTTGACCCCGTACGCCTCTTCTTCGCTGGATGGGAGTCGGTACTGGAAACAAGGGAAGAGGGCCCCTTGCTCCTCCAGGGGAGCGAGGGTAAACACCCACTCGTAATGTTCGATGACCCCTTGTCCTTTCCCTTTCAAGACCTTCGCTTTCTCTCCCCACCTTTTGTTGGCCATATTGAGGAGAGTAGCCTTGAGGGACGCATATATGCCCGAGGTGGAGTCAGTAACCCGGAGGTCAGCAATAGCCTTGTCTCGTGCAGCACAGGCCACCCAGTATATCGGTAAGGGCAGTCCAATGTGATGGAGCCATTGCGTGCTGTCACCGGCTGTCATAGCGCAGTGGCAAAGATCCTGTAGCATTGCGGGCAGCAATTCCTGGGGTAGCAAAGGTTGACGGGCTCTATCCACTCCCTTACTGTACCTGGCGTTTCCGTTAGGCACATTTGCGTGTCCCTTCCACCACCGGCAAGCAGCCAGGATGCCGTTGGACTAAGCCCTCCGTTCCTCGGTCATTTGTGGGCTCAAGGGAGTAGGGGCCACCACTATGGCGCTTAGATGATTTCTCCAGTCCCAGTTGCAACCATCTGGGAAGGCTGGCAACACTCTGGTGAGCTGGGGTGCCGAAGGAAGAGCGGCGGAGACATCAGTTGACTCTCTGGAGGAGGCTGCTGGTAATGAAGGCATGGGAAGAGAGATACGGCTTGTCGCAAGAGTTGGACGACGTTTGTCTGCAGGTCCTTTCCCTGAGGAAATAAGCGAGGGTAGTGGAAAGCTTGGACTCGATTCCAGGGGTTTGTCCAGCTGCTTAGCGGGGACCTCTGAGCTTGAAGAGACTACTATTGCTGGTGCGAGGACTGGTGTCACAGCAGATTGGGTGTAAGGTGTCAACAGCTCTGGATCCACCTCTGCCGCAGCAGACTTGGTAGGCCTCTTCGGAAGCATGGGAGATATATTTGCCTCTACACTGACTAGAGGACTGAGGACAACCTGCTCCACGCGTGTTGGGGTGCTAACTTCTGGAGGGGGAGGGTGTTCTTCATCATGTGGTAGGAAAGGCTCTTTCTCGAGGGAGGGCAGAGGGGATATCCTCATACAATAAGAATCACCCGTCACGGCTACGACCTGCTGTCCTTCTAGCACTTCCCACTGGGGGGGAGGAGGCGGTGAGGGGAGGCAAACTAAACCTCCCCACAAGTCACTTGAGGAGGGCTGGGCGGCTTGTTCCCAGCTTAAAGGCACAGGAGGAAGGGACGAATCCTCTCATTCACCCCAGGGTAGAACAGGAGTGGAGTAAGGATGCAAGTAGCTCGAATGGGGCTGCCTGCGACTGCTGGAGGGACGCGTTCTAGGCAAGCGATCCATGTATCTTCCTCGGGACAGCCGGGGGGAATGATCTTGATATCGAGATGAGGCAGGTTGCAGTACATGAGCCAGGAGATTGGGCGCTGGAGAGTATGAGCACGCGGGATACCGGTCTACTTCCCCATGTTGTGGGGGCAAGCGCGATCGACGCAATTCATATGATGGACTCCCTTGTATCTCGGGCCTTCCCCTACAATTCTCCTGCACAGCCTGGGGAGCTGAAGATCGAGGTCCGGTGGGCAAGGAGTGGGAGTCAAGCAGGGAAGCAGTGAGGCTTAGCCCTCCGGGTATGCCGGCGTAAGGGAAGAGCGTTCGACCTTGGTCATTGCCATACGTCTCAACATGTTGCACCCATGCCGTATAGGCTCCCGGCGTGTCACAAAATGCTCGACTTAAGAAGTCGGCGGGAAACCTGAACTTGCGGTCAAACAAAGGATGTCCCAAGAGACTAGCTTTGCTGCTGGAGAGCCACGGGGGCCAGTGGAAAGGTTGAAGTCAAACGGTCGGAGAGACGGATGGCCCGGGTCTCAGCAGCAGTCTTCCACTGGCATCCCAATCGTGTGGGTCCACGTGAGTTCTCCAGTTTCGTCGACCAAGCTGTCCTTCCCAATGGCTGATTGCCAAGAACCGGGGTTCTCGGGTGTGCGTTCAACCTCTTCTCTGCAGCATGGCGTAAAGCAGGTGGATCACGCCCTCATACATGTCCTGGTGCGGCCCCAACCAAGTGTAGTCACCCCAGGCCCCCTCCAAGATTTGTTCGAGCCTCTCCCGGGTTTCAGGGGGATGAGCACTGCAGACCAGTTCCAGGCCGACTTGAAACGCGGTCTCCCATGCAAACAAAGTCCAATTCGCAAGCAGGGACTCCTTTTCAAGCAGAGAAAGAAGCCGGTCAACTAACATGGCATCGAAATCAGACTGGCATTGGGCTCTAGCAGCGGGAGAGGGCAATTTTCCGGCTGGCATTATGATTGGTGGTAAGCCTAAACTGACTAGTACTTCATTCGTACCCTGGGGTAGAAAGAAGTGCTCCATGTTTGAGGCCATATGGGGAAGGATAGATGCGAGCAGGGGAAAAGCTGATAGGCGCACAGATCGGGGACCCACGGGATGCAAGATGTATTCACTAGAGGGGAGCTGCCCTGGGGCAGGTTGTCGGGGTAGTAGAGATAAGGAGTTATTGTACGGTTCTTCTTCTCGCTCTTCGTTCTGAAGGAGCGAGTTTGGCTCGTCCTCCACCCCCTGGAGGGAGGAGGGTAGCATTAAATCAGCTTGCGTGAGTTGCAGCTGTGTGTCTTGAGGGAAGTCCATCTTGCTGCTAGACGAAGGATAGCGAAAAGCAGGAGGGGAAGGAGGCGTAGTGGGGAGAGTTAATCGCGAGAGGGTAGATGAAAGAGAGTGAGAAGGGAAATGGGAATTCCTTTTGGAGGCGAAATAAAAGATTGAAGCGTGACAGAAGCAAATATTTGGCCCCATTGTTGTTGTACAGGAAAGCAGGTCTAAGTGGACTTAGGCATATTCTGCCCTCCCTCCTCTTCAGGTAGTCTGCCAGACCGAGGCCTATCCGCTTTCTTCTTCTTTTCCTTCCCAGAGGAGGAGGAAGAAGTGGCAGGCTTCATTCCCTGCCGGAGGCCCATCGTGGACTGGTAGGTTCGCAGCATTTCAAGAGCGTTACAAAGCTCCGCCTCTGGGCGCCAGTTGTCTTCATCAGCGTCACAGTCCTTCCAGCGGACCTGGTACTCTACCCTAAACTTTCGAGCGTTCCAGTGATGGTCGACTATCTTCTCCACTTCCACTTCCTCCGGGAGGTTGGGACGGACTCCTGATAGAAGTGTTCGCCTCCCCAACCCTTCTGGGGAACGGTGGTATGGGCGTAGATGTTTGACATTGATGACTGGGTGCATGGGATGAGTCTCAGGCAGACGCAAATGGTCCACATTATCATTGATCTTTTCTATGATTTCAAAGGGCCCGTCTGCCCTCAACAATAACTTCCATCCCTTCTCCTTAGATTCGAGCAGATGCAGGGAGTGCGGGTTGAGTAGAACTTCTTGTCCTACCTCCCATGATGATGTGCTTTTGCGATTCCTGTCATGCGCTCTGGCTTGCTTTTGCTGGGCTCGAATGAGAGCATCCCTGGCTGCTTCTCTATGACCTTGCAATTCATCTACAAACTCTTGGGCAGCTGCAGAGGAAAGATAGGGGCGGGCAACTACTGCTCCAGTTCCTCCAGCCACGTCCCACGGTCCAGCGGGCTGGAACCCATACAGGAGGAAGTATAGAGAATAGCCAGTAGAGGAGTGCGTGCTGGAATTGTACGCGTGTTCCACGAGTCCTAACCACTGAGCCCAGGCTTGTGGATGGTTGTTGACATATGCGCACAACATCATTTCAATCGATTGGTTGGCCACTTCCATCTGCCCATTGGTTTGAGGATGTCTGGTGGAGGACAGTTTCAGCGCAGTTCCAAAGCTGCGCAGAGAGAGTTCCAGAACCCGTGAGACCACCTAGGATCATGATTGGCGATGAACTCCCTGGGGAATCCAAAGCGTAAGACTATTCTGGAGAAGACCAGTCGTGCTACTCTGGCCGCGTCCACGGAGTTGCCCATCGGTATGAGAGTGAGTAGCTTAGTGAGCTTATCCACCACTACCAGCACCGCCGTATGTCCTTCTGAGGTAGGTAGCCCGGTAATTAGATCCATCATAATTGTTTTGAAGGGCAGGCGAGGAATCTTCAGAGGGTGTAGCAGGCCTTTAGGACCTGAGTGATCAGGCTTGGTCTTCTGGCACACATCGCATGTGTGCACCCATTTGATTATGTCTGAACATAACAAGGGCCAATAAAACTGGGAACGGACTATCTGGAGAGTCTTAGCTTTGCCAACGTGTCCCCCCAGCCAAGGGTTATCGTGAGCGTCTTGGATGACATCCCATCGGAATCCTTCAGGTATACAGAGCCGTAAGATCCCGTCCACATTGGCCCATCTCAAGAGCCCATCGGCAGCTATCGCATATGGAGAAGCAGCTGAGGGAATGTCCCTTGCTTCCTTGTAGGATTTGGTGAATGTCTTGTCCTCTCGGTAGGCTTGCTTCAGCTTATCGAGATAAGCTGAATTACCCAATATGGTTAATGAGGCTGGCCACGTGGGGTCAACTCAAGCTCCTTTCCTTCTGGGGAGGGAGGGAGACTTTTCTTGGCCAACCTCTTGTTGGATCGCGTGACCACCGTGAAAACGGCTGGTTTGGCTGGCTTCTTCACTGCTTCTGCCTCCCACTCTTGGGCTTTGGCTCTTGTATCCTCAGGAGGGTAAATTGTAGGAGCCGTGTCCATTACCAAAGAGCTATGCGGTGGAGCATTTCTAGGCAGCCTTGACAGAGGATCAACGTTCGAGTGTACTCGCCCAGGGCGATGTACAATTGTGAGCTTGAACGCACTGAATACCACCCCCCATGATGCTAGCTGATGGTTGACATTTGTACATTTGTATGACTTCACCCAAGTGAGTGCCACATGGTCTGTCACGAGGATGGTATGTTCACCTTCAATGACGGGCTGAAACTTGACCAGAGCTTCCTTCGCTGCTAAAGCTTTGCATTCCGTGATGGTGTAGTTCCTCTCAGCTGGCTTGAGAGTGCAGCTCCAATAAGCGCACACGTGCTCCACGTGCACAGTTGTCTGGTCCAGCGTTGCCCCCCAAGAGTCTGGCGGAAATTCCTTCGGATGGAGACCTGGACAATCATGCACTTCCAGCAAAGCAATGGTCACTACAATTTGGCATCCCAAGCGCTCTGAAGCTTGTCATAAGCCTTTGTGTCTCGCAAATCCTTGACGCATATAGGTTGGACTTGCTGAAGAGCGGCGCCAATGGCTATGTCGCTTGCATCAGTGTAGAGCCAATATGGCCGGTTAGGAGCAGGGTGCGCTAGAACCGGCGCCGAGCATAAAGCCCGTTTGGCCTCCTCAAAGCACTGCAAATGCTCCATATCCCATTTCCACTTTGCGTCTTTCTTTAAGAGGTCAAACAGCGGTTGAGCAATATATGCGTAACTGTATATGTACATGTGGAAGGATACAACCATGCCCAGGAACTTGCATAGATCAGGCACTCCCTGGGGGGTGGCCAGATCGCGAATGGCACATACTTTCTCGCTGTGCATAGAGAGGCCTAGATGGGAAACTTTCTGGCCCAACAGCAGAATAGATTGGAAACCAAAGTGAGATTTCAGGGGAGACAGGGTCAGCCCTGAAGCCGCCACAGCCCCGAGCACTGCAGACAGATAGATGTGTTAGGTGTTCGTCAAAAGACTTTGAGTATACAATGATATCTTTGATGTACACCAGAGAGAAGATCCACAAGTATGGCACCAGGATGCCTTGCATAATTTGTTGGAATTGCCCAGGCCCGTTCCTCAGACCGAAAGGGAGTCAAGTGAACTGGTGTAAGCCTTGGTGCATCCGGAATGCAGTTTTCGCTCTGTCTTCTGGTGCCAGCTTGATTTGATTGAACCTGGCGAGGGCATCCAGTGTTGACAAATACTGAGCCCCTGAGAGCGCTTGTATGATCTTGGTTTGCTGCGGTAGTGGGAATTCATCAGGAGTGGTGAAGGCGTTAAGCTTCCTGTAGTCAACACAGAAGCACGCTTTGTTATTGTGGTACACTATGACAACAGGCGAAGCCCAGGGGCTGACTGAAGCCTCAATCACGCCCAATTTGAACCATTTTTCCAACTGCTTGTCGATCACTTTCCACTTCAGCAGAAAGGCGCCATACATGGGGGAACAGACTGGTCTGGCCCCATCTTGAAGCTTGATCTTCAGCTGCTCCGGGTAGTGACTGAGACGTCCATCAAGGGCAAAAGCTCGGTGATGCTTTGCTAACACCCTAAGCAGTGCGGCCCGTTGGGGGGGGAGGAGCTCGGGGTTCAAGTTGAGAACTGACTCCCGATTGGCAGAAGAGGTTTCGCCGGAATCGGGTAGCTCTGCCATCTTAGGACCCCACATCTCCTCATCCCGCAGTGTATCAACGGGGTCCTGTGCAGTAGCACTGCTCAATGGTTGTGTGCTCGCTGCAAGAGCTTGGTAGATAAGCGCTTGAGTGCGGCATGCATTACCCATAGGCGACACCAGGTCCAGTGGCTGCAAATGATCATTGGCAACATGCAGCTGGCCGACCCTCGACCGCTCCTTGATTGTTATTGACGAGTTTGTGGTGTTGGAGATGGAGGCTCGCACCATTCTTCCTTGAAGCAAGCTTGGCATTACCAGCAATCCGCGTTCTCCCTTGTAGGAAATCGGTTGGTTGTAAGAAATAGTCGAGATCAGGATTAACCCCGGGGGGAAGCGTCACCATGACCAGCCGACACGTTTGCGGCGGAACCATGACCTGGGACTCTAGGAGGCACCATCCTGCCTCGTGTCGTTTCTTATTGCGGCGTCTCTTAGCGTTTCGGGCATGATGGGCATGGTAACAGATGACATGATCAGAAAGAATAATTGGTTTTAGAGAGGGGGAAGGGGAGCTAGGAAGAGATGGGATGTAATTGCATCGACATTGCTTCCCGACCCAGTTGGAGGCGCAAACTTCTACTACACCGTCCGGGGAAGGTATTTCCAGGAGGGGGGAGCTTAGGACGGAACACCAGGTGGAGATGGCACGAGCCTGGAGAAAATCCTCGCCCAGCAGTAGGTCAGTGGTCATATTATCCACCACTGCCAAGTTTGCCAACCTTGCAGTAGGAGCCTTCGCATGAGGGAAGAAGAGGACTGGACATCAAAATGTGCTGAGGATAGAGGCATGTCCTGAGACTTGAAGGATTTGCTGAGAGCTTGGAGTCAAGGGAAGAGGAGGAGCCAGGCAAGACCATAGAGCCCTGGAACACAGCAAAATGCTTGCGCCCGAGTTGGTGATCGCCACGACTTCAGGTCTGAGCTCGTTTTGCAGTCTGACCCGCACAAGAAGAGGGGTAGCGTGAGGCCGCGGGTCCCTGGCCTCCAGGGAGGAGGAAGCAAGCAGTATGGAAGTAAGGTACGCAGGGCAATGAGAGATGGTTGGTTCGCCCATCAAGCCGACTTGATTAATAGGAATAGTAGGAGTACCGGGAATCTGAGTGAGAGGGAGTAACTCGTTAGAGGCGGTAAGCCCATGTCGAGAATTAGCGGGAGTGTTACTAGGTCGAATAGAGAGAATCGTTCTGGGGTATCGAAGATGAACATGAATTAGCCACCTCTGCACTTCTCCTGAGAGATCCAGAGGGCAGGCGACATTGGGAGCCAGCAGCGTTAGATGGGGGAGTTACCGGGGCCGCCATCCCTGTCTGACGACCCTGGGAAAAAGGGAGCAACCGAAAGGGAGAACCCGCCCGCTTCGCTCGACGCAGCCATAACCATGTGCACGTTTTCGGCATCATATTCTTCCTGGGTGGGATCATCCAAGTAATGCGCTCTCCTAGGGGGTGGGTCTTCTTTCTCTTTCCTGTGACCCTCCTCCGCGTGGGGGCATTTGTTATCCCAGGGCAAGGCTGATCCGCAAAATCAACCCAGCCAACAAGGAGCTTTCCAACTCCTAACAGAGTCATCTTTGGGGAAGGGCCAAGGTCCCCTTGTGTTTTGGGAAAGAGGAGTGCTGCTAGGGCTCAAAGTACTTTTCGGCTTGAACCTGAGTCTGCCCTGGTGAGGGATAGTGTAAGCCACATTGTCTTCCTCCCCACTGCTATCACCCTGAGGTGGAGCCTGGAGTTCGGACATGTAAGCCTGCGACGCGATTGCTTGGCCATTGTGCCTTTGGTACGCATGCCTGGTCGCCCAAACTCCGAGGAGCTGAGCCTCCATTTCACCGGCCCGCTGCATGAGCAACGTGATGTTGGACGAAGTGACCTTGTTGAGGAATGGCAACCATTCTCCGGGGAGACGGGATATAACCATGTCCACAGCTGCTTTCTCGGGGAGTTGTTCGTACAGGAATCTCATTGCCCTATGCCGCCTGGTCACCTGATCCGGTGGTGACTCATGCCTATGCCCATGTTCTTGGAATCTCATACTCTCAAATGCGGTGCAGAACGTCTCCAGCCAGCGACGGCTGAGGAGGCTGCCAATAATGAGTGCCCGGATCATTTTCCAATTCTTGAAGGCCGCTTGCTTGTGAACCAGTGAAGTTTCCATCCACCACGCACGGGCGGAACCTGTGAAACAAAGGGGCAGGATCCGCATCAACTGCTGCGGGACCAGCCCATCCAAGGTGAGGAGCTCTTCCACCTGAGCGAAGAACTCTATGGCCATATCCCCCCCTGCGTCCCAGGTAGGTATGTCTTCACACTTTACTCGAGTGTTGATTTGGGGTTGTATTCTCATCCAAGCCCAGGCTTGATCTTTCTCCAGTAAGCGAGTATAAGCATCAGCCCAGGACAAAGGGAGAAATGTTGGCTGAGCTGCCTGAGGCGGATTGGGATCAGGTACCGCAGGAAGGTAGCCCACGTAGGCCGTATTCCACTCTCCCGGAAGAGAGTATTGCTCGCGCGGGCTCGGGACCTGGGGATCTACAGGCACCGAGTTGTAGCCCATCATTGCGTCAAATTGGTCGATCTCAGGGTAGTGTTGGGTGCGAGCGGCAGTCTCTTCTCGCGCAGCATAGGTACTGTCGAGCACGTTTTGAGTTGCGGTAGGGCGAGGATGGGCGACCACGTGCTTGTGGAGGAATGTTTCATGAGCCACAGTGAGGCATTGAGCTCGATCACTAGCAGCAAAGTCCGGGACGGCTGCGTGAAGTTGTTGCTGCAGTCTCATCCCTCCAAAGGGAGACAACGTCTGCAGCGTCTGAGTTATGGGGCTGGGAGTGGACACGTTGGAGAGCGGGAGAGCTCTTCCCTCCACGGATGGGCAGCGCCGCTCCAAGCTGGAGGCTGCTATGTGCACGCGAGCTACCCACACAGAGTATTCTCCCCGGAGGGACTCAATACTGACATGCGGTGCCAATAGTGCCATCAGAATATGCCCTCCTGCATCCAATTGACTGGGTTTGCACCCCTTGAAGGTGAGCTGAATGACGTGAGGCTCAGGTGCGCTAATGCACCAATGCTTGTGATTGTGCGACAGAGTCTGCCATGCTTGAAGAGTATCGTCTGGTATGGAGTATAGGATTTGCCCACCCCCTTTGTGTCGGGTGATCGTGAGCTGATCGAAAGCAATCTTCTCTAACTCCATCAGTTGGGCTTTGAAGTTGTCTGCTACCCAGAGGTAGCTCTTCTTCAAGGAGTCCTCCTGTGCAAGGATGTGCATCTGGTCTGCCACCAGAGTGTTGGGGGAATCGGCGCATCTCTGCCCAAACAAGACTCCAGGAGTGGAGGATAATGGGAGATGAGTAGCGAGAATAGCGCGATCACTAACGGAGATGGGTATGCAAGAACGTTGAGAAGGATCGAAGTGTATGGGACTGCGCTTGACTTGAGGCGGTAGGGTAATTATGCTGTTGTCAGGATTGAGGGAGGTCCTGGCGGATCAGGCAGGAGCACCTGGGGGAGCACCTGGGGGCAGTGCCTGCGGGCGAGTGGTAGGAGTGAGGAAAGTAAAGGGAGAGGTAGAATGTGAGTCCGATACAGGCTGAAGAGTCTCGGACGCAGTGGGGCACTCATCGGGGCTGCTAGCTTGCTGACATCCCCCAGTTCCTTCGTCTGAGTCGTGAGGCGGAGGAATGGAGGATGAGGCCTCGATCTCCGGGGAGGCCGGGGCCACATCCTCCTCGACCTGCTTTCCACAACGAGGAGCCATTATGCGGGGTGAGACATTGAATGGGACAGGAGTTTGAAAGGGGAACTAGACGCAGTCGGATCCCAGCACGACCTCCAATTGTAATGCCCAGAGGTTATTATGGTAATTAGAAATAGGGAGTGATCTGACTGAACATTTAGAGCGGATACAAGTAGAATGAGAGTAAGGAATAAGAATCCCCACTTCCGGATCACCGTTCGCCCTGGGGCCAGATGATGGTGGAAGAAAAGAGTAGAAGAGAAAAGATGTGTCAGGGTCCAAAAGGTACATCTGCCTCAATGGCCTCCGTGTCATGTGCACGAGATGAGGACTTGTCCATATGAATACCCCATCATCACAGAATGGCTTGCTTTTCTCCACAGCAACCTCCCAGATTTGCTCCACCACACATTGCATGCTCTATGTATCCAGTGAGCTGAATGCAATACAGACTATCAATGACAAAAACATACCATGATATGATCACACCAGCTGGCCATCCTCAATGAATCATACATGGTGATGTACTTATGAAGCCAGTCAACATAAATAAGGATCCAGTGGTTGTCATTGATATGCATTGGGAACAACCATTGCGTCCTTGCTTGAGCTGTCATGTACTCTGACACTGCACTACTGACCTGGTTTGCCACCCACTTTACGCCCCAGTTATCAATGGCATATGCTTCTCCCTTTGCATAAGCCTTCTCCACCTGCTGAAGCTGAGGTCCCAGTTGTGAACTGAATGCATACATCTCTTCATCTGGCTTGGAACACAAGTTGTTATAGCAGTTTTGGTTTGGCCACTGAGCAGCAAACAGTTGACATAGCTGGGACAACAGGAATCCGTTCAGCCACTGGTAGCGTTTGGCCAGAACAGTGATGTCCAACTTCCCAATCTCAATTTGGAACACTTTGGTGATCCAGATCTTGTGGTTGGGCAATGGCTTTTGACATCCTGTGGAGTAGGGAAGCTGGGGACGCCATGAGTCTCCTCTGCCCAACTGCTGGGCCATTCTCTTCTTGAATTCCAAGGATGCTACAGCCTGATTGGCGACAGACAATTCTACAACAGGAGCTGGGGGGGAGAAGGTCTCGGGAACAGGCATTTGCATGGGTGCTGGTGGCTTGGGCATTGGCACTCAACAAGGCAAAGGAGGATCGACATAATTGGAGAGTTTGCTCCAACCTTGCTTGATCACTGGGACAGTGGGTGGTGGTGTTGAATACCTGCGCTCATATATGTCATTGTCTTCATCCTCAGCATTCCCCATTTCGACATCTTCAACCACAGCCTGTTCTTCTTCAGCATATTGTGGTGGAGGTCCCAGGTCAATATCTGCTGAAAGCAGCAGATGGTCCAAGGCAGGGGGGGTCTGTGACAGGATGGGTGCCATGTGCTCCATCTCAATGATGTTATGAGCATGGGTAGCACCAAAGTCGTCCTGCTTATCGGCAGCATGCCAGGAAGTCTGCAAGTCACCAGTTTCATGCTTGCCACCCATCAATCTATGACAGGCAGGGTACATGTGATGTTCTTCCTCACATGATCTGGGTGAGCATGATTGAGACTCATGACTGCTTGAAGAGGGGGAGCAGCAAGAACACTGAGGTGAGCAAGGGCAGTGATAACGACCAGGAGAACAAGAGCAAGGACAACGGTATCAACTAGAAGACTGAGGACAATGGTAATGACCAGAAGACGGAGAGCAAGAATGGCCAGGAGAGTGAGAGCAAGAGCAAGAGTGAGAGCAAGAGCAAGAGCAAGAGTGATAACAACATCGACCAGGTGAGCAAGAGCAATAACAAGGTCAACTAGGTGAGCAAGAGCGATAACGAGGTCAACTGCATTGGCCTTCCTGCTCCTCACGGTTGCAGTGATTGGTTGAATGCCAGTAATACTGTGAGGACATTGAAGGGGACATGCAACCAGAGTGTGCAGATTCGCCTGCCTGCCAGCAGGCAGGAGATGTGGTTGGATGATTCCAGACCAGGGCAGTTTGGCTAGCAGGTGTTTCTGGATTGCAGTCATGGCCTTGCAAGGATGTAATATTAGAGGGCAGCTGAGGATGGTGTGGCAAATGCAAGGAATGGCCTGGAGCATTGAGCCCATCAAGGGGGGTTGCAGTTTGCTCATTTTCCAGAAGCTGCAGTAATTCTTTGAATGTACCAACCAGCTGCATTGCATGAGAGATGTTCAAGCAAAGATCTCCTGCATCAACCTGGAACTGTTGATTCACCAGGCACTGCATGAACAAGCCATTGAGGAACATCAGGAAACAGAATTCTTCGAGGTTGCGGGGGATGCCAGGGACAGATTTTGGGTGGAAGAATGACATGCCATGATCCCAGTGATCCAATGCTGGCTCTCTTCTCCATTGAGCCATGGGCAAATTTTATTCCCAGGCAATCACTTTGCTTGGAAGGCAACCGCTTGTCCAATTGCTGAGCCCATAAGGCATTACAACCTGGTCCAACAGGGCAAACAGAGACTTGTAGCACCAGAGGTTATGCACAAGGTTTGCATGCAATCAGTATCACTGGTAAATCTCCAGGAAGTGCGATTTTCCTGCTCAAGAGCCAGTGCCCCCTGAGCAAGCCAACATCCTGCTATGGGTGAGTAATGACAATCAAGTTTGTAATGGTGATAATACTCACCCTTGCAAAAACACCACTCCTGAAAATACAGCTGCCAACACAACAGGAATTGAATCCAGACAAAGCACAAACCAATTGATACTCAAATGCAGTTATCAAATTTGGCCTGCCTTGCCTTCTGCTTGCTGGTGGTAGCTGCACGCCCATGGAATGACATGTCAAGGGCAATGTGTGGACCCAAACACTGTCGAACCAGGTTCTCCACACTGTCACCTAAACCTCCAGGGCAATTGTAGCCAGACGGCGACAGGATGGGATTCAATGACAAGGCTTCCATTGCAGCATCTGCACCAGGAGGGAGCCAATAATGGTCATGCTCCCAGGGGTGCTGATTTGTAGACAGCATGTACTGCCTGTGTTTTTTGCTCATGGTGCACATGGCAAAGCATTATCTACCCAGATGGAGATGGGGGAGGGATTGGTGGGAGTGCAAGGGGTAGAAGTGGTGGGCATTTCATGGGTGTGGGAGGGAGTAGTAGAAGTGGATGGGACAAGCACTGTGCAAGCAGTTTCTCAGTCTTGGCCTGCAGCTAGCATATGCAGGGGGAGGGGAGAGTGTTTCAACAGGACAAGGACTGGGCAAACAGTGCCTCAATATCTTGACCTGTTGCTCAAAGGAAGCGCAAGGCTGAGAACAGGTACTCACACTTCACAAACACTAACATGCAGGCAAACACTGCTCAAAGGAAGCGTGAGGCTGAGAACAGGTACTCATGATCCAAAGGGCCACATGAGGGAGAGGGCAAGTTCAATTTCAAGGTGCAAGGAGGCGCCATCTTGCACGTGAGCCCACCGAGTGAAGCAACCCATGAAGTTTTCCTTCACTTACTCACTGAACCTCTCTGAGAGAGGCCTGAGTGAGAATGGGGCTGAGGGGAGGGAAGGAGATGGGAGAAGGCATCAAGGAGACTGGTGAGGACAGCAAGGAGGGTGGGGAGGATGATGAGGACAACAATGGGGACGACAACAGTGGTGGTGGTGGTGGTGGGGAGAGAGAAGCAGTGGTAGGAATTTTTGCATGCATGTGGGAGCAAGTGGGAATGGGGCTGTGCATTGTCAAGGCTCCACATCACATGATTCAGTGGAAGCAAAGATGATGTGTCCCCAAAACAAACACTGAAATGTGATTATGATTAGTCATTGTCAATCTCATAATATCATGTGCTCTGCTTATGTAATAAATGCGGGGGGCATTCCCTGTGGGCAAAGCGGGAATTAAGGTCACATGATGTGCACATGATTATGCTTACATAGTGCAATAGTGCCACCTGTGGTAGTATTGACAACCCTTTTTCCAGGGATGTCACATGACCATCTGCTTCTGGTGGATGCAGATGGGGGACATGTCATCCATCTTCTGCAAAGTCCTTTTTTCTTCTGCACCACCACCACTGCTTCTCTCCTCCCAACCACCACCACCACCACCACCACCACTGTCATCATCACCATTGTCATCATCTCCCCCCCATCTTTGCTTTCCTCGCTGGTCTCCTTGATGCCTTCTCCCATCTCCTTCCCTCCCCTCAGCCCCATTCTCACTCAGGCCTCTCTCAGAGAGGTTCAGTGAGTAAGTGAAGCAAAACCTCACAGGTTGCTTCACTCAGTGGGCTCATGTGCAAGATGGCACCTCCTTGCACCTCAAAATCAAACTTGCCCTCTCCCTCAAGTGCCCCTTTGGATTGCAAGTACCTGTTCTCAGCCTTGTGCTTCCTTTGAGCAGTGTTTGCCTGTGTGTTAGTGTGTGTTAGTGTTTTGGTTTTGAAAGCAATGCACGAGTTCCTGCTCTCAGCCTTGCACTTGCATCCAGCAATGGGTCAAGACCAAGAAACTGCTTGCACAGTGCTCGTCCTGTCCACTCCCACTACCCCCTCCCAAACCTGTTAAATGTCCACCCCTCCCACATCCACCCATCCAACCTCCATCCCCATGCCGTATCCAAGCCCATCAAGCATTATGCTGTTTGCCACCACCATTACTGGGTTCTGAGATGCTGCCATGCAATTTGGCACATCTCTGGATGAGAAGGGGAAAGAGAGGGCATTAGATGTTGAAGGAGAAGAAGGTATGCACCAATCTGTCCAACATTGCATCCATGCTCACCATCTGTCCAGATATCAGTCTGTCCATGGATATTGTGCTTGCAGGGATGTCCGCTGAAGCCATGGAAGAAGGAAATCCAGGTGTGTAACATTCTACTCTTACAAACAGAGCTAGTTACTCACCAAGTAAATCAGGCTTGTCCTCCAAACCAACACCATGAATGGTAGATGAACTTCTGGCCTCTCAACCTCATTTGGCATTGACCGGTGAGCCCACCCTCCTGCAGGCACGGAAAGATGGCTTCTGCAGTGCTCTGTTGTTTGTGGAGATGGTCAGGCTGGCTCATGTAATTGTCCTACCACCGTGTCCTGACAAACAGAAACACAGGCAACGCTGGCTGGAATTCTGTCAAGCCTCAATGAGAGGGGAATGCTTGGCCTGGGATGCAGACGAGATCCTGTGGGATGCCAAGCACCATAACACGGAGCTACAGAGTCGCTTGCGAGAGGATTGGACAGTATACACCCAGCCATTTGACTGCCTCCACCTGCATCAACCTTACTGCAAAGGTCCGCCGGCATCTCCCCTTAGCACCAAAGTGCAGTGGGTGGTGCTGATCCAAGAGGTGTTCTTGATGATGGAGTGTACTCTGGGATCTGCTGTCCTTGGACTGGTAAACCCCAGGCGGATGGCCCACCTGAAGAGACTGCACAAGTGGGCATTCACTGTTGCCCATCGCAATCTCTCCACTGTGCCTTCTGCTGAACTCTGGCAAACATATGCACACCTCAACACTGCTTGGTGCATGAAGATTGAGTGGGAACTGTTCCAGCATTCCATGACCTTCAAAGAGGCCAAGCAGGTCTGGTCAGTTGCTCAGTGCAAGGTCAGCAACCTGTTTGGTATCTGCAATTATATCAACTCATCGTACCTCTGGCAATACCCTCTGTCTTTGAAGAATCGGCCATTTACCTGCAACTTCATTGGCATACTCACAGATATTGTCCCCCCTGCAAATTGTGAACAACTTTTTCGAGGCAGGGTGCCACTGCTGGAGCCAGATTCCCTGCGGAGGAGGGACAAGTGTCTGATGGACAACTGGGTGAGGGGACACTTGGCAGAGATGTTGGCATCTGCCTCAAACACTGAGCACTGTCAGCACGTGGGTTCAGCTGATCAGGTTCAAATGGCCAATGCATGTATGCACCAACAAACTAAGGTGTCAACTTGACTGAACTCTTGGAGGTGTAAAGCCGCAAAGGCACAACTTGCAGAAGCCAGCAAGCCAGACACAACAGCTGTTGTGTCTGACGTGCCCGTGGCGAGCCTGTTTACAGACTGCCAGGTGGCCCAGATGCATGTCAGAGTGCTGAGGGCAAATGCAGCACTTGGACTGAGCGCAGCATTCCCCGTGGCACAAGCAAGTACCTCCCAACCCAACATGATGCCAGCAGCAGTGTTCCATGACTATCCCGGATATGCACCTGGTGCAGAGTTGCTTCCCATCCCCTCGAAGCTAGGGGCCAACATGACAACTGAGTCAATGGCTGCTTCTCTCCCATCTGAGAAACCACTTACAGCTCTGGACTTGCATGCTGACCCAGCATTTGTCAAGAAGTATGCTGAGCCTTACCGGACTGTGGTGAAGGAGCACAAGAGGTCCACCAGTCTTTTGCACAAACTGGAGGAGGTCCTGCTACCCATATTGGGGAGTCTCGCCAAGTGGTTGGCTGCAGCACAGTGCCCTGCTGATGTGGTTGGCAAGCCCAGCACTTTGCTGGGAACAGAGACTGGTGACTTTGACATGCCAGATCTTGGAGATTTGCATCTTGCTGATGGGAATCGAGCTGAAGACTGGCAGAAGGCCAAGGAGAAGAGGGAGAGGGAGATGGAGAAGCTGGAGAAGCAGAGGGAAAAAGAGCAAGCAATGTGGGATGCTGCACCGGCCATGGGCAAGGGGGGTGTACACATGCAGACTAGCACAGGCACACCATTCTATGTTTGAGCCCCTTTGCCAGTGGTCTTTGATGACTACCCTCCCCATATCTCTGAAGAAGCATTGTCTCCGGCTGCAGCAATCCCTGAGCAGCCTGCCACACCTGGACCTGCTGAGTTGATCTCTACAAGTCCTCCTTCCTCACCCCCTCAAATACCTGGTCCTCCTGCTGCTTCATCGACTGAAGCAGTGAAAAAGTGGACCTGGAAGGAGTGGAAAGCTCATAGGAAGGCCCAGAAGGAAGCACAAAACAGGGAGCATGAGGCCAAAGAAGCTGATGTGGAACTTCCACACAAATGAATGACCCATATGGATATAATTTCTTGATGCAAACTGTGCTTGCCGTCACTGTTATCTTATCACCATGGTTCATCTCTATGCTCATAAAATACTGGTAGCTGTACAGTATATAAACCAAGTAATCTGATTAGTCATACATAGTTTACAGTGCACTGGCAGGCTTCAAGTGAGGAGCAAAACCTCGATGCTCCAAGCCCTCTATGATCACCTCATTCCTCACCTTGATCACCTCATCAAGGAAGAACTTGAATCGAATGGCACTCATCTCTTGCAGCTGACCCTGATACTTGCATATCCATGCATTGGTCTGCTTGCATGCCAAGGAGTTGAACATCCAGGTTTTGGATGCTGGGTCGTACAACTCAGGGAAAGATGCCAGATTGCAGTGAGTGCTGCAATAGACATTGTTGTCTGCATGCTTCATCTTGTAGTGGAAGACATCCACCACAAGTGCAGTCTCCTTGAAGTGCTTGGCTTCAGGTCAGCCTACAAGATATTGGCCTAGAGTGCAGTTGTTGTCAAAGACCAACACCTCAGGCATGGCCTTGCATGTGGGGAATATGGACATGAGGAAAGGCTGAGAAGTGAAAGGTTAGTGTTTGCTCTATGGATGCATGAACTTTGCTGACTGTGACTGAGGACATGCCCTTGGAACCATAGAAGGTTGCCTGAGGAAGTACAATGCCGCATGGATGGACTACAAGCTGTTCATTGTGCATCCTGCACCTTCCAAAGTGCAAGCCTTTGTACTTCGGCTTGGCAGCAGCCTTGCTCCCCTTCTCCTTCCTCTTCTCTTTCCCCTTTGCCAGCCTGGCACCAACCAGTAGCATTTCCCCATCATCCAGGAACTGCACCTGCAGTTGCATCTGCTCGTCCTGCACCTCATCCTGCACCTTGTCCTGCGCCTCGTCCTCCTCCTCCTGCTCAGCTGGTCTTGGGCAATAGCGGCCATGGCCAATCTCATTGCATTGGTATGCCTTGTGTTGACACTGTCAGAGCAAGGCATACAAATTGCCAGCAGCACGGTATGCTGTCTCTCATGTGGCATGCTCTTCCAGATCACAGGTCTGCATGTCCAGTCATGTAGGAGCATTGCAGCCTGGGAAGGTGCAGACATATTTGAGATGGGTGTGAGGAATGCAGAAGCAGGCACAAGAACTAGGAAGAGGGAGAGGACAGTTGTGGACGGCGCGGCATGGGCAGCTGATAGCTATGCCATCTGTGATGGCACAACTCATAACATCTGTAGAGGTTGAGTAATGCAACTGGATGATTCAGTGCACTCACAGGGATGCCCATTGCGCTGGATGGTCTTGGTGCACTCAGAGCACACATGCACCCAGTGGGGCTGGCCAGTGTAGGCCATGAAAGCATTGTGCTCTTGCATGGTGTATTTGAGTCAGTTGTACTGGTGCTGGGCATTGTTGGGAAGGTGAAGAATGCTGCCCTGCTCAGCATGGTGGAGAAGCAAGGCATAAAGGTTGAAAAGGTTGGATATACTTTTGCCTTGAAGGAGGGACAGGCAATATTGACCTTGATGGCTGACACTGGCATTTGCCAGCATCAGGTTGTATATGTCTGCATTTGCAGATGAGGATGCACTATCCCTGTGTCAGTCTCTGCTAGTCATAGGGATGACAACGTGCTCAGCAAGAAAAAAGAAGAGATTGCCATCCAGCAGCCCCTCTGGGAAGAGGTATGCACTAGAGGGGAGGGAAGGAAAGGGAAGAACAAATGGATAGACATGCATACTGGGTGTGGACTGTCTGTGCACAAAAGAGATGGCAGAGATGGTCTTCAAAAGCCATGTGCTTTTTGGCTTGAAGGATGGATGGCATGCCACCATAGTAGACCCAAACCTCCTCTGCCACTTGCTTCTCATGGTAAAAGCTGAGGGAGTAGGTCATCCTGCATATCCTGCAGTGCAAGGATATGAGGATGATGGGGATTGCACCCTGGGCCAGCGTGTACAATGTGGCAAAGTGCTGGTTGTGAAGGGTCAACATGGCATGCATGCCAGTGCAAACATGGTGGGGACAGGCATCCCTAAGGCATATTTGGGTTGAGGGGTAGAAATGTTTGATGCTGTCAGGGCACCAGCTCATTGG